CAGCCATAAATGACAACACAACCACACTGATTTGACTGGACACAGCACAACAGGTGGAGTTGGGTTGCTAGGCAACTTACAGATGCCCACAAACTTTAGGTGGGACAAAACAGCTTCAAAACTGTGCTCTGTATTACAAACATAAGATCAGCTGATGTGACTGGTGCATGAACCAGCACTACACTCGACATTCTGATGTTTTTCAAGTGAATCCACAGTTTCCACAGTCGGATAACTTGTGCTGCAAAGTCAATGAAGGCAATTTTAGAGTACTTCATTATTCCATCTGCTAACACATTTTATAGAAATGCTAATTTCACTTCCCAGCAGCACTTAGCACCTCCCCACAGTGCCAAAACTAGTACCAAATGGTTTGCCAACCATGTTATTACTGTGCTCGATTAGCGTAAACCCCACACAGAATCTGTGAAGTATTTTCAAGAGGAAGATCCACCCGACAAGCTGAAGGCAGCTGTCAAAGCAACCTGGGCTTCAGTAACACCTCAGCAGGGCCAAAAGCTGATCGCCTCCATACAGTAATATGTGGTAAGGAGGAGGCCCAGCCAAGTACTGTGAATGTATCAGTGATCATATGCTTGAGAAGTGGGACATTTCTGCCATAACCACCAAAACAAAAACTGTAACCCAGAGCGAATGCTAGCACACTGATGTGACGTGTTTGTGCATCACCTGATGTCTCTGTCCGCAGTGCTCACACTCTGGTCCAACCGGTGGCCCGGTGGCAGCAGAATACTTCATGCTGAAATCAAACAGACATCGACTTTACCGCACGCAGTGATCATCAAGTAACACAGAGGGGTTCTCTGAACAGCAAACCTCACATTTAATAGTAAAGCATTTAGCCAAACGTGTCCATCCACGGCTCCTTGAACTCAACCTTTTGATTGAGTTCAACCTAAGATTTTTACATCCAAAAAGAATGTTATTTTACAGAAACACCATAAACTGAGGACTTTATTTCAAGCCGCCAGTTCGCTGATGAGCGCACCTCGACTGAACCATCACACACAGAACCTCATTAGAAGCAGCAGCGTGTTTAGTGTCTCACTGTTTTCCGTTGCTCGTTCTCCTGCCCATTCTCTGCAAGTGGAAAGCCCCGCAGCCGACACAGTTGTACACCAGCGCCTGCTTACTGCAACAAAGAGAGACAGGACTCAACTGCAGTGTCGTTTTGTGTTTCAATACTGAGCACATCAGTCATAATATCATCTTTTAGTGTCACGTACCCAGATTTCTATTATTCTATTAGCACTTTACTTTTACCCTCACAAATCCCCCTGCTGCTGTTACTTTGTGCATTTGTTCCTGCAGTGACCCAGTTTCAGGATCATTCATCTTTCATCACACAGGATAGATCAGCCTTTGTTAGCAGACAGTGCATGCGTGTGTGTGTGTGAGCGAGCACCTGGCTGAGTTTTTGACTGTAGCCTGTCCTGTGAAGACGCGGACGAAGACTCGAATGTAAAAGTCGACGCTGACGGACAGCAGGGGCTGGATGTATCGCTGGTACACTCCTGCCCTCTGGTCCAAACTGTGCAGGATGATGCGCAGAGCCTGGAGTTCAAAGATGGAGAGAGGCACGTATTCAGCACTTTTTTTCTCTTGCTGTGAAAATCTGGAAAACATCTCGGATCCGTTTACAGGGATGTGAGGAAATTATGTTGGATAAGAAGTTTTATTTGGCTGCAGAGGGGTTTCTTTTTCATCAAATCAAATAGATTTATGAGCTTTTTTTAATGATCCTTGCATTTATGTTCCATTACTGCCACTCACAGCTAGAGAAGGTGTGAATTCTACTACTGTGTGGAAAACTACTTGTGCTATATGCAGCATGAAATCAGATCATGAGAGCACATGAGAAGGTGGGAAAAAGAAGAAAAGACCTTCATGAGAACACCACACATGTTCTGGCTGTGGTGCAAACACATTCACCAGTTGCTCTTTTCTTGTATTTCTGCCAAAGAAAATATTCAACACGAACGGCGTTGCCTACATGACGACTCTTTGGATGGTTGCCCAAGTATACTGTGTAATTTATTGTTATCCATCTGGATCCCACTGAGACAGCTGCATGTTTGACTTAGATGACTCAATAAGCTCTTCACCCTTATTTTAAAAAGCCACCTACAGGTTTTCCTGTCTCATGTTTCCCTACAGGCAGGTAACAGTCGTGACTTTCACTCATCAAATAAGTGTAAAATTTATCCTTCTGCTTTTCAAACATATAAAATTGTGTGGTATATAGAGATATTTTATGTGTCTTTTACTTTTTTCTGTATTTTCTGCATATATTTTGTTATTTTGCTAATATTTAATTTCAATCCAATTCATTTTTATTTATATAGTGCCAAATCACAACAACAGTCTCCTTATATTATAAAGGTAAAGACCCTACAATAATACAGAGAAAACTCACAAATCTGACAAAACATGAGAAAGCACTTAGCGATGGTGGGAAAGAAAAACTCCCTTTTAACAGGAAGAAACCTCCAGCAGAGCCAGGCTCAGGGAGGGGCGGGGCCATCTGCTGTGACCCGTTGGGATGAGGGGAGACGAGACAAAGGCATAGTGTGAACGTGATCCAAAGATTAATCAATTACTAATAATTAAACACATAATGAGTTTAGAAGAAACACCCAGTGGATCAGGGGAAGCCCCGAGCAGCCAAGGCCTATTGCTGCATATATAAGGGAGGATTCGGGGTCACCTGATCCAACCCTAACTTTATCCCTTATCAAAAAGGAAAGTTTTAAGATAAGATGGGGGATGATTATTAAAGATCTTTTATGTCCTGGATTCAACAGGGAGCCAGTGAAGAGAAGCCAAAATAGGAGAAATATGCTCTTCCTTTCTGGTTCCTGTCAGTACTCTCGCTGCATCATTCTGGATCAACTGAAGGCTTTTCAGGGAGTTTTCTAATTACAAACAATAAAACAGTCACTTCTGAGTCTCTCATCCTCTGACTCCAGCATCTTTGACTGCAGCTGGTGACGGCTGTACCTGAAGCAAGTGCAGGCCTGATGCCTTCAGGTTGAACAGAAAGTAGAGTCACCATCTGCGGTCCAAAATAGAGGAGCTGGAGATGATCCACAAGAAGAGGAACTTCTGGAGGTAGCCAATCATTGCTTTGCTATTTCTTTTCCCAAAGTGTACACACTGAAGGATTATAACCTCAGACGATCGCAACGAGAATAAAATATCATTTGTTTTTGACGTCACGAAAACTCACTTGGCTAAATTGAACGTACGATTACTTACAGCGTCACCGTCTCACTCAGATACATTCTGCATGCTTACACACTAATGCAAACATGACTGTACATGTACTGCAATGTGTCACTTTCACATTTCTGAGAGTGAGCGTGGAGAGTGTGTGTGTGTTTGTTTGTGTGTGTGTGTATACTCTGTGCCCTCACCATTTCATGACAATATTTGGCTTTGATGGAGACTGAACCGTATTTGCTGTAGCAAGTCTCTCCACTGTTTCCTGCCATCACCGCCATGTCTGTACAGGTTATACATAAAAGACCTGAG